GGGAAATCAAGAATAGACCCACTGCCGATAGAAAAACATGTCGTAAGAGTCGACTAATTAGAAGCTTTCTTCGAAGTCGGAGTGCATCTCCTGAGAGGCAAGTAATCAACAGTCTGCACATACATGTGTCGGATCTGTCAAACACCCAGGTTCTGAAACAGGACTGCAGTCCAGAAGTGGACGAACAATCAGAACCTTCCATCAGAGTTTACAGCCGGTGGGAGAAAAGAAGAAGAAGAAGAATTATTTCCTCCAGCGTGTGGCGAATGATAACACCAGTTCCGTGTTGGTTTACTATTCTTCTTTGGCAACCTGTATAGCGTTAGTGTTTGGCAACACCCTTTTTGACCTTACACGTGTAAGTTTTACACACAGACAGTGTCTGCAGGCAGTTAACATTGGCCATTATTAGACAGAAAGGCTGATTTGTCATTTTTTTCTTATCTCTGGCTTAACAAGAAACATTTAATTGCCACTAATTTGGTGAAGATATTGATATATAATTGTATAAATTAACATAAAAATGTGGCTCGTAATTTCAACGTACATCTATCAAAACCCACTGCTGGCTGCGTGGCTTTTTATCATGCTATAGGGCGTTACAGGTCGACCCAGCCTAAAGTGGGTACCAGGATGTATGACCTGGGGAAGTGAAGACGGTCGGCGTAATGCTGACCACATTACCCACCCAGTGCCGATTGGTCTGAAGAAAATATGGGTGATCCTTCCGTATGACCAATATAAAAATATTCACTGTAATGTTTTCAAAATTTTTTTTTCTAGTATCCAGAAGCCATGAGTTGTTAACCCTTAGGCTCGGTATTATGGATATCGCAACCATTCGGCCTTGATTCCATGATAAATACCGTAAATCTGGGAGAAATGTGGCTGTTCTGCCTACCCCCGGGCGAGAACCCAGACCACAAAGAGTTCGTTCCCCGGTCACCGTGCAGTCCGGTTTAGCCAACTACGCTAGAGAGCCGGCCCACAATTAGGCCTGGCTAAAAAGAAGTTCATAAACTGTCTCTTATTGTGTTTGTACATTTTCTAAGACTGTTATTCGTCCCTCTCTTGATATTATGCCCTATTTTGTCGTTATAGCTATTTCTTGCCTTCAGTTTCCCCCTCCAGTATTAGTTTTATAACCGTTTTTTTTTAAAAACCAGCAATAGAAATAGTGCGGTGCATAGCAGCACACATGTCAACACATATTATGCCGTCCCCATGTGGGATGCAATGTTTCGTTATTTGAAGCCCACTTTGGCTTTTGCTGGGGCCCTAAATATAGCCGGACCATGAATATGGGCCTAACAACTCAACGGGGTTTCTGGGACCTCTTCACTGGTGATCCTCATCCGCATGGTGGCACTTTGTGTCACCGGGTGTTTATCGCGTGTGTGATGTCCTGGTGGGGTACAACAAGAGAGAGAGAGAGAGAGAGAGAGAGAGAGAGAGAGAGAGAGAGAGAGAGAGAGAGAGAGAGATTTCAACACCCTTATAAATTAGCAAATCTTCGATGATTCAGTCAGTATAAAACCAGCCCATAAACTTTACAGTTAATCAATAACCTCAGCTAGTGTTGTTTGTGTACTACTTTAGTTAATATTAAACGAAACCACACATAACCAACTTTTTTGCAGGTTAATACATGTTTTTGAAAAAGCGTCAGTTGGCTATATACGTACAAGACTTCATAAACCGACCCTTAGATCATTCTGACTGTTCTGTATATATTTGCAGTAGTTTGCCATTGCTTTCTGACAAAACGCTCATACTAATGTTGAAAGTGGCCTGCTTTCGAACTGTTTACAGCTGATTTTGAATCCATGAATGTCAGTTTTGTGAAACTGTGTTCACAGTCTCTACGTCTTAGACAGGCTTTCTTATAATATAACGGTTTGAAACATCATCTACTGACAACAACAAAAAAGAAGACTTGTCATTATGGTAGATTTTTTGCACATGCAAAAGCATATTTTAGTGAATTGTGCACGGCTTGCAGTTTTAAGATTAGCAACAATAAAATTCATAATCTGTTTAGATCACCACTAATTATTACACAAAAATTTAAAATATAATACAATACTAACTACATACACAATAATTATCATGATTGCTAAGAGACTACATGGTTGAACATTGTGTGAAAATTGAAGATAAGAGAGAAAAGAACTGTGTACACAAACAAGTTGAATTAAGTAGACTTTGAGGCAGACCAAGAAGACAATGGAGAAATAATATACATCTAGACCAGCAAACACTTGGAGTCACCAGCTGGAGGGGGGGGGGGGAGGCCAATCATAGACAAATGGGGCGGGAGATTTCTGCAGCAGTGAACCTCGGTTATTCGGAAAAATAATAATAATAATTTTAATAATATAATAATAATAATAACATAATGCTCCAGGCTATTTAAAACTTTAATATCAATTTTTTTTAAATTGATTTTCTTTATACTACATTCAGTTCTGCTGGCCTGTTTCACTCTTCAGTTACATGCACCCAATGTACCCATTTTATCCCAATTGTTACTGGAATCCCTTCTGTGGTACAGCTTTCAATTTAGCCCATTTAGACTCATAGATTGGTATTACAAACTATGCAGGCTTTGTTTTAGATAAATTAACAACCCATTATGGTCAATGCTCGCTGTACCACGTGTAGGCTGTCGTGTTTCGCCATCTGACACGATCGCCACAATGTCGAATCAGGTCAATGTTCTTGTTTCGCCCTATTCAGAATGCCAAGCCATTAGGTATTTATCTCTTTGCTGTCCCTTGCTTTCTTTCGAAGACGGATGAATGACGACGATGGCGTCCGTTATAGATGCCCCGATTATTAGTTCTTTGTGGGTTTAAATGGCGTTTTGGATTCGTCCTGTTGGTCAGCCATCCAGAATGACATTGTATAATCACAGGTTGTCATTCCTTACGGTGGCAACGTGGAGGAGAAAAATGGAAGAAGAAATATAAACAATCTGAATAGTATGCAGAATCTTCTTTTTCTTTTTCTTTTTCTCCTCCTACTCCTCCTTCTTCTGCTTCAGCGTTCCGAGTCCTTGAGGTTCGTTGCTTCAAATATCACCCGCCTCCAATGGTCTCTCTGGTTGGTCTTCTCTTTCCAGTTGCAAGTGTTTATAGGTCTGTCTAGATATATTTCTCCATAGCTGAACTTGGTTTGCCTCATGGTCTTCAACCATTTAACTCCCTTGTGTGCACAGTTTTTACATTTCTGCCATCTGGCATTCTTCTAATATGCCCCAGCCATTGCAGTCAATTAGCCACTAAGCTGTTAGTTTTCGAATTTCAACAAAAAAAAAATATTTTTTTTTTTTAAATTATTATTATAAAGCACATTGGCAACTATGAACCTCTTTTAACTACAGAGAAAAGGCGAAAATGCAATGGTATGGACATGTAATAAGATCAAACGGCCTCTCAAAAACAATACTGCAGGGCTCAGTAGAGGGAAAGAGGAGAAGAGGCAGACCAAGAAATACATGGTTTACAGAACCTGACTGACTGGACAGGCCTCAGGCATGCAACCATGAAGTCCATCGCAACTGACCGCCAAAGGTGGAGAGAGCTACACAGACAGTCAACAGAAACTTGTGACCCAAAGACATATAGTGTTACTGAAAGATGATTGATGGCGATGCTGATTTTTTTACTCACAGAAGGCCGAGGAATCCTTGGAATTTTTTTCGTGCAAATAAATGCTAATAGCCTACATGATATTATATTCGGTGACTTCCAGTCGTCCCAAGGGTTTCGATACCTCCCGTTTTTCAAAATTGGGTGTGAACGAGCAAGGTCGACGATATCGGGACTGTTGATAGCTTCTGTCATGGCATTGTTTGTTTGTGTAAAACGTCACCAAAAGACGACTTGGACAATCACGTCGATCCTCTGTCATCATCATCAACTACATTGCCGACTGGTGTGGGCGATCATGCCTATTCACAATTTGCGATTGCCAGCAGCATGTATCGTTGCGAGTGAGAAGCAACAACGAAATCTGTTTAAATCACTATTGATCACTGGCATCATGAGAGCTAATAGACTGAAATGGTTGAGGCATTTGAGAGAATGTCAAATGACAGAGAAGGTAGAACTGTATACGCAAGGGAGATGAATTGTCGTAGACCACAAGGCAGACCAAGAAGACGATGGAGAGATAATGTCCAGACAGACCTGCAAACACTTGGTGTCACCAATTGGAAAGAGAAGACCAACCAGAGAGATGAACAGAGGCAGGTGATATCTGCAGCAATCAACCTCGAGGGCTGGGAATGCTGAAAAGGAAGAAGCAGCAGCATGTATAAGTTGGTGGGTTGATGCCCTACCATGCCATGACAAAAGACTGTCAAGAATCGCGCTCATGCTATCGTCTTTTGTTCCCCCACCCCCTATTTCCTCCAAAGATCTTTCCCGTGGTCACATGTTTAAGTTTCCTTCTTCTCAAAACACAAACAGAATTGGCCACTCCCTCTTTCTGATGTTTGTGATAAATTGTCTTCGAGCTGTGGTTTCTTTGAAAACATCATGATTGTTCTTTTTAGCTGTCCAAGAAATTATATGCATTCTTCTGTAAAAACACATCTCCGTGGCCATAAGAATTTTTTTGTTTAACTTGTTTATTAATTGTCCAGGAAAAAGAGTTAAGGACAGTTGTGGAAATGTATAGTATAATCATTTAATCATTACAATCATCAACATTAGCATCAAGGACGCTGCTCAAAAGAAAAGTGGGGGTGGGACGGAGTCTCTGGGACGTGGAAAAAAAAAGGGGGGGGGGGGGATTTCCTGAGGATTTTTAGGCGTTACAGCGCCAGGTCTTGGTGCCCCTGATCATCATCATAAGCATTATTATCGTTATCATATGCAATGCCGATAACTTTGTCAAAAGTCTTCTTCTTCTTCTCCTCCTCCTCCTCCTCCTAATCCCCTCCTCCACTTCTGCCTCTTTTTTTTCTCCTTTTTTTTTCTTCGTCGTCATCGTCTTCTTCTTCTTCTTCTTTCATATTTGCTGCTGTTTCTGCATTGTAGGGTCCTAAACAAATCGGAAAGAGAGTGGCTAGCAGGTACTGCAGAATCATAAATTAATCTAATTAATTGCACTTCCCGCCCAGGTAATATGATCCTCTGTACGTACAGATCTGTGCTGAGAGGCAGGTAGGTGCAAGGAGTTCATTTCAAAAGAGGATAGACTTCGCTTAGTACAACAAAGACTAGGATCTGATATTACAACATCTAGTTGTAGAACTGAGGTGGTGCAGTCACGGCAGCATTTGTTTTTGCTGGCTTGAGAACCAGCTGCACACATGTTCCTGCAGTAACAAACTCAAAAAGCATATTGTAAAAGGTAGAGAAAGTCAGACTCCGTTCAGAGTCAGATGAGGCCAAGGTTCTTTGAATACAAGTGAATACAAGTTGTTCGCCCAAGAATAGATAACTACTGTCTGGAGAGAACGGTGAAGCGGAGAGAGACTAGAAGACCTGATTGACATTCCACATTCTTCTTCTTCTTTCGTTCGCTTGAAATAAATTATCTATATCTACAATGATGTCTCTAGTATGAACTTCACTGTTTTTTGTAATTCACTCAACGACCTGTAAAGTTTGACTTGCACCGATGTCTTGGCCAAAACTTTTGCCTTGATATGTTGTATTTGGGACAGTCTTGGGGGACATGATCTGTTGTCTCAGGAGCACATCCACATGGCTGTTTCGTCGATTTTAAATTGTGTACATGTGGCTGCGAAGTCGATTGTGCCCTGTTTTAAGGCGTAGAATCATAACTGAGCAAGGGCAAGGAGGTATCATGGGTAATACTGGTACCATTGAAGCTGGAACTGTGAACCGGTTGTTGAAGATGTTGCAAATACCGATGTGGTTTACAGCTAGGCTGTGATATCTGCGGCTTTCGGTCCAGCATATCATTTTTCTGAAAACTTCTACTTAGTCGCCCTTTACAACATGCTTGTTGGAAGACACCAAGAGACTTTTCTCCCCCTCCTCCCACCAACTCTAGTCCCGGTAGGACTCCGTAATTCACACCTGGAAATTATCTAAAAAAAGCTCTGAATCCAGAGCAAGAGACAGACCGGAAAGTCGGTGGGCTTCTTCTTCTCCTTCTTCTTTACGGCCTCTTTAACCGCTTCAAAGGTGTCGAGGAAGATTTAAGGTCCTGCTTCATGCTCTTCTGGATACTTCGACAATAAACGCATCGTGGTGCTGTAGTTTATCTGATGTTATCTTCCCATCTTGTTCTTTGTCTACCTCTTGTTCTACGTCCCTATCCTCTTTTGGTATATGTCATGTGTTTTGTATGGTATAGCATCAGAAGGTATTCTCTCCATGTGGGCAAACCCTTTGATTTGCTCTCTCTGTATGTAATTTAGAATTAGTTCTGTGCCGACTTTATCTCGCATGACTTCGTTACTGATATTATCTCTACTGGTATCTCCTACAGTCTTTCTCAGACACCTCATTTCCATGGTTACTAATTTTCTTTTATGTTTTGTTGTGAGTGACCACGTCTGGCACTGGTAGCACAGGGTGGGAATGTATATGCTTTGTATGAGATGATTTTTTGTGCTGATTGGGATTGCCGGATGTTGAAAGAGGGGAGCTAGCTGTCTCAATACTATGAGTGCAAAGAGATAGATTATAAACAGCATATTTATTCCAATATTAAGCTACCAGTGCCAAACATGGACACTGTCTTAAGCACATATACGCAAAATCACCACCTGCGAGATGAGATGCCTGACAAAAGCAGCCAACCTAGCCATCCGAGATCGAGTGAATAATGATACTGTCAGACAAATTGTGGGAACGACACCTTGTACTAGATTAATCAAGAAACAGCAGATCAAGTATTTTGGCCACCTCGTTAGAATGCAGATCAAGTACCATCACATCTCAGAAGATCAACTACAAGAGCAAGAGGACGAGCGCGAAAAATATTGATCAACAACATTAAAGACACTCTACGCCTTTACTGCATGGCAGTAGCCAGTGACAGCCAGTGTGCACTGGATTGCAAATTATTCCTCCCCACGGCATTAGCCGCAGAAGTGGTTTATGATGACGATGATGGTGATGATGATGATGATGACAAAATTACAATAGTAATGGCACTTGTGGAGCGTTGAAGCACTAATTATCCCTCCACATTGCCGCTTGCCATAAACAAAAACAAAACAAAAAAGACGAAGAAAACGGAGATGATGATGATATTCTTCTCGTTAATCACGTTGACCGGCTTAAACTCCGGGGGAAAATCCTAGTTGTTCGCCCACTTTTGGAGTTTAGTCTTGTTCCAGAGATTTCGTTTTCCGTGCACATCAGTTTAACAGATCTGGATGTTGGTTCCTCACTTCTCAGGCTTCGTTAAAAAAGCCATACTTAGTTTCCTCCTACGATATGTTTGTCCTGGGGGTGGGGGGATAATAACCCCCCCCCCCCATACCCCCTTGGTTCCGGAACCTACACGGAGATATGATAAAGACGATGATAATGATGAGGATTTGCAGCAATGATTGGTAACTCTAGCAACAAAACAAAAAAAACAAGTAAAGTAGAATATAAGAGTTACCTAATCTTGGTTCATTAAAGTCGTGAATTTTAGCAGTTAACAATAACAGTTTAATAATAATGTAGGTAGGTATGTAAGTTGAAGTAGTGACATCACACAAGCGATAAAGTTTATCATAAACACCCAGTGACACAGGGTGCCACCATGCGGATGTGTAACTTGATACAGAATAAATAAATAAAATATGCATAATAAACTTTGAGGTTTTATAATATTAATAATAATAATTACTCCAAATCAAATTATTGTCTTGTCGCTTAAAAAGTAATACTTATACTAATACGTCTTCTCTTTCAGAGGTGTTATGTAAACTGTATTAATTATAGGAAATCGCATGCCTATTATTATGTTATTATCAGTTTGAGTTTCAATTTTGTGGAATTAGACGAATTACTATTACCGGTGCTAGTTCGTGACTTTTGAAACCAAAGCAGGACAAAATAACTACAGTATCAGCATCTGTTTTAATAAAACTGTTATACTTGTGCACTTAGGTTACGTTGTACAGTATGTAACTTTCAGCTATCCTCCGAATAACTGGCACAAAAGATGGCGGCCGCAAAATATCCTTACGAGCCTCAGCACGTGAGTCCCCACGCCGCTCACGCGGTGTGGATTGTGGCTAAACTAGATGGCTAGGACTCAACGAGCAAAGCTGCAGGAGATGCGGAAGCTGCTGCTCGTTAGTCCTAGCCATCTAGCTTAGCCCCAATCTACGCTGCGCGGGGGACTCGTGGCGGTAGTCGCCGGAAAACCGCAAATTAAGTCGCTGGAAGTGCGCAATTGACACGTGACTGAGGCTTGTATGGATATTTTGTCGTCGCCATCTTTTGTGCCTGTTATTCGAAGGATAGCCTAACTTTTATTAGCAGTCTGTTATAATTTTCGTTTCTTTCGTAATATCCTACACCAGATGACGTCACAGGACAGTCCAACATAGAGGATAGTTAGACAGGGTTTCCTGGCTTTCTGATGCTTTTTACGACCCCAAAAAATCTAGAACTGGCCCTAACCCCAACCTACCTACGCCCCACTAGAGAATAGTCAGTGCAGCCTAGGTCCGACAACTGCATGCAGCATATCTACCACCCCCTGAAATATTACAGTCCTGTGACCTGTGGGGGTTTAGCATCACAGGTCCAAGGTGTAGTCAAGAGAGACATAAAATCTGCGCATCTTGCGTTCATTGGGCTTCTAGGTAGGAATCTATGAACCTATGATGCCTTCCTTGGGACTCAAAGAGTTGAGAAAGCACTTAATCTTCTCTAGATACTACTAGTACTACTATTAGTAAAGTACTAGTAGTAAAAATTAGTATAGCAACTCTTCAGTTTGTTTCTGTCCTTGTCATCATCGGTAACAGAATAATTAATAATACCAATAATTCTATCATAATCAGATATCAGTTTAATTTACTAAATTTTTTTTTTCAAGTTCCTTTCATCTTGTGTGGTCTAGATTGTCTAGTCTGCTATTAACCTAGTATAATTTATTCAGTCTTTTTAGTTCTCATGTAATTAACTCTGTTCGGTACCTTGTAATTACTAATTAGCCACACTAACTAGTGCTAGTTGTTTAAACATTATCAAATGTTAAAGATGTTGTACTTAATCGGGTCCACGAAATATACAGTCTGCCGAACCTTAGTCCACTTTTGATGATAATGTTAATAGGTAACAAAATAAAATCCTTACCTACACAGTCCGGGATGACAGCCCTAGTCATGCTGTCTTAAACTCACATGCCTAAAGACCCCCCCCCCCCCCCCCCCCCCAATCCCTCGGTAATTACAGGCAGTAATGGCAGTTGAACAACTGATAACAGAGTTTCAAAATCTAAACTGACTCTAGTAAGACGGAACAATTTTTACATAACTCTTTGCCAGGATGGCAATGCTCATTATATTTAATTTTTTAATTTACATGAAATATTTATATATATGTATATACTATTCTAGTATGTTTAGCAAAAGTGGCAATTTAAATATTTATTTTCTAATTAGCAAATAAACTTGTATCCACTACTTTTATGAACTGGGTGGACTCAAGAAAAAAAGTTTGTAACATTTTGCTCGGAAAGTAAAATGCACCTGGCTTGTGTAGAGCCGCCAAATAAATAATCAATTTTCAGTTGTTTGAAAATCCTTATTCGATGTTTTCATCTTTTTTAGGACGACATTTTTTGTTATTTGAAGCCTCACCCTGGCTTTTGCCAGGGGCTGCAATACAGGCAGGCCATAAATATGGCCAATTGTCTGAACGCGATTTCTGGGACCTCTCCACGGCGATCCTCATCCACATGGTGGCACTTTGTGTCATCGGGTGTTTATCGCTTGTGTGATGTCCTGGTGGGGTAGAAAGTCAGTCAGTCAACATTTTGCTTGAATGCTAAAGCTGATGCATTATCATCATGTAGCAGTTCCTTTGCAGAATGTTGCTCTCATCAGGGTCTGCCTGAAAGAAACTCAGTCTCTTGCCAGCTCTACCGCCTCATGTACTTTCATACTCAAGGAGTCACTTATATCCTGTGCCCATCTTTATGGTGGTCGGCCCCTGCCCCTCCTTCCTGGTACCATGCCGCTGCTATTATTTTTTCCAATCCGTTTCGGCGCTTGAAACAACCAAAATATTTCAGCTTTCGAGACAGGATGCTGTTTATTAGCCCATATTCCTAAATGTTCAATCTTTCAAGATGTCAGTATTTCTCCTTTTCTTTGTCCAAGATATTCTGACAATCTTTCTATAGCATTTTAGCTAAAAAGCCCCTATTCTTTTTCTTAATGACTAAAGCTGATTACATTTAATTTATGTTACTTATACATATATAGCTAAGTGTTCTAGTATTGTTTGCACAAGCATTGATTTATTTGAATTGTTTATTTTCTTTTTTAGTGTCTAAATATAAAAATACAAATCTGCTCTGCAGGTAACACTAAAAAACTACTCCAAGATGTTAAAGAAAATTGTATTAGCCATAGTCTTCATTTTCGTCATCATAATAGCAGCAAGAACCATCCTCTTGTCTCGGCACAGTCCACCAGTGACTGAGTGTAGAGCAACAGATGATGATTTCATACCTTTATCAGATTCAAGGTTGGCAAGGTTTCAGAGAGCTCTGCAGTTTCAGACTGTCAGTCGCGATGTTGGAGATTATAATAGGGACGAACTTCAGAACTTTGGAGACTTTATAATTAATAGTAAGTATTTATTATCTTGATTTTACTTAGTTAACTTTTTCGGTACCAAGCAACTTACTGTACATTTCTTGGACATTACAAAGATAGCAATGTTCTAGCTGTCAATCACAGACTTACGTTACATTCTTCTTCTTCTTCTTCTTCTTTTCTCTACCCCTGGAATGCCTTGCGGCATCAGGGCAGGAAGAGATCTTTGGAACGAGCCCTTCTGTTCGCTTCATATATAGTACTTTTCAATGTCTCTGATATTTCTGTGGTCCATCTTCTGCATGGACGGCCTCTGACTCTGTTTCCACTGTATCTGTATATCTGTTACATTAGCCCTTTAAATCTTTTATATAACCACTTCTATCCCATATTATGTCTACTGAACCCCTTCAAACCCCTTTAAATCTGAGTATTTATTCCTTTTAAGATCAACTCCATGGGATAGAAGGGGTTAAACATAACCATAGCTTGGGACTAAAAGAGTTATTAACTGCTCTTGTGGTTGTCAGACAGTGGTACAAGAGTTGCACCATGGAAGAAATGGGGGCCTTACCTTGTAATATTCCCCAAACCATCAAGCGGTACAGTATTCTTCTTCTTTCATTCGCTGGTAATAGATTATCTATATCTGCAGTGTTATCTCATGTATGAAATTCACTGCCTGTTGTAATTCAGTCAGCGAACTGTAAAGTTTAGCTAGCATTGGTGATTCTCTTAGCCAAAAGCTTTGCTTTAATATGTTGTATTTGGGACAGACTTAGAAGATGTGCTAATCCACATGTGCACATGGCTGATTCGGCAGTCTTCAATTTTGTGTACATGTGGCTGCAAAGTCGATTGTGTCCTGTTCTAAGGTATAAAATAATGACATGCTTTGGTCTGTCCATTGTTTGGTAATTGTCTTGTGCCGGTACACTGTTGTCAGCCTTGATTGTGTAGATGGCACAGCTATTTTCAGTTAGTTAACGCCAACATGATTCAGCTTTTGGCTGTTGAGAAGACATGTGTGGGTTGTCCCAAGTGCAGTGATGTCAGTCCTTGATTCATTCATTTATTCAGAGTTAAATGTTTAAATGCTAGTTAAATTAATATATTAATATATTATATTAATTCTAGGTTTTCCAACTCTGCACAATTCATCTTTAGTGGAATGGGAGCGTGTCAACAATTACAGTTTTCTGTATCAGATCAAGGGAAACAAACGAGACTTGAAGCCATATTTGCTGATGAGCCACTTGGATGTAGTACCTGCCACAAATCTGGAAGCATGGGAGGCTCCTCCATTTTCTGGCAACATTGTGGATGGCTTTATATATGGTCGGGGAGCTATAGATGTCAAACAGTGTGTCATGGTTAGTGGAAAGTCTGCATTGATTCTTTTTTGCAGTTTAGCTTATTTGGATTAACTTAGATTAACACATGGCACTGAATCCTGGACTACTAAGATTTACTTACCCACACTGAACAGCAGGTTACTTTGTAACAGTAGGTCTCCTCAAAGTACCGGTGTGTTAGGAAACGAGCAGGCAGATAGACTGGCTGGTTCTGCACCACAAGGTGGTTAATTAATGTATGACAAGCTAGATGTTGAAGGGCCCTTTGGCTGCTAGTGAACAGTGCAGAGGCACAGATAGATCATTACGGTCTGAGGAGAATGGCACTGCGAGGAGGTAGCAGGGGATCTGGCCAACACTCAGAACTCAAGGGAAAGATCAGACGGATATATGAGTGGAAGTCAATAAGTAAGTCACAAATGGTTATGGGATGGCAGGAAAATGTAGTCAGTGGTTTCTAAAGGTAATCTTAGTTTCAGCTTCATAGCAAATGGGTCACCCCATAGTTGCTCCGCTCCTGTGCGAACAAAAAACACCAGTTGTTTATCACAGTCCCTTGTGGAAAGATTGACAGACTGCTGTCTCAGCATATGCACTAGCATACACACACATCAAAAGCATTCGGTAGCCATCAAGTTGTATTGTCTTTTTTTTTTTTAAATTTTTTTCACAACCATTTGGGACTAAATAATCTAAATAGCAATCCCATTTTATATATTTACTAGCTGTACCTGGCCACGCTTTGCTGTGGCCCAGAATGGTGAAATGGAAAAGAAAGAAAATAGCTCTCAGCTAACAGTGTTTGTCATATCCCCCCCCCCTATTTCCTCTCCCCTCGACCCAGTCATATCTCCCTTTCCAAAGGATTGTTAAATCATCCCTGGCGAAATTATTAAAATAGAAATAGTTAGGAAATAATAACTTTAAAAAAATGTTTTATGCTCTCTCAGCTAACTGTGTCTGGCATAACCCCCCCCCCCCCCCCCATCCTTCCTCAATCATATCTTCCTCTCAGAATTATCACATTGCGACATTGTTAAAATAAAAATAGTTAAGAAATGAGAACTTTAAAATAATGTTTTAAGCTCTCTCAGTTAACAGTGTCTGGCATCAACCCCGCTTAACACCCCCCCCCCCCTTTCCTCAATCATATCTTCCTCTCAGAATTATCACATTGCGACATTGTTAAAATAAAAATAGTTAAGAAATGAGAACTTTAAAATAATGTTTTAAGCTCTCTCAGTTAACAGTGTCTGGCATCAACCCCGCTTAAACCCCCCCCCCCCCCCCTCCCTCGGGGAAAGTCATTGGCTGACGAAATATTGTTGTTAAATTGAGCTTGGCATCCGTGTCCACCCAGACTAAAATGGGTAGCATTAATCTGTACTGAGAACTAAATGTGGCCAGTGTAACAGCTACCACATCACCCATCGAGTACCAGTACTACTGCTACCACTACCACCACCACCGTCACAATAAAAAGAACATCACAAAACGGTCAGTACTGTCTGTGCAGGTCGTTATAGCCATAGGAGTTGACGCGGCATGCTGTCACCACGGACTGTTTAGTTTAAATGTGCCCCCGACATAAAACTCCATCACCTAACCAGTGGTGGAACCCACGGTAATATTCCGATATTGAAAAAAAAAGTACACTATAATCACAAATAGCGGAAATAAAAACCCACACTCGTCATCTCTCCCTCTCCGAAGGGACGATTGTTAATTAACCTTGGCATCCGTATCGACCCAAACCAAGCTAGACCATAAGCCGTCTTAGTTTACAGTGTCTGTCATCAACGAATAGTTTTTGGTCAGGTGAAGCATTGTGGGAGGCTAATTTGGAGGTTACTGAAATCGGATGTCTTTGGGTGAAGGGCGCAGATATCGCAACCTAGCTGTAAACCACAAAACAACGTGCCAACCGTCCCTTTAGGGAAAAAAGAAAAATTAGCACCCAGGGGGATTCGAACACCGGTCATCTGCGTGTAAAGCGGAATACTTACAACTCTAATACCGAAGACTGAAGACTTTAGGTCAGATATCGTAGCCTAGCTGTAAACCACAACACAATGTGCCAACCGCCCTCTTAAGGGCGAACAAATATTACCCATGACATGAACATTGAGCATCACATCGCCGCTATCGCAGGCTAGCTGTAAACACCAAAATCGAGCGGGGGGGAAAAAGGCGTAGATATTGCAGCCTAGCTATAAACCACAACAAAACGTGGTAGCCACCCATTTAGGGGCCCAAAAAAAAATTATATCACCCAGCAGGGAATCGAACGCCTGTCACCCGCGTGAAAAGCGAAATGCTTACAACTACGCTAACAACTATTCAAGCATTTAGTAGAAATGAAACTATTTAATAATGGGAGTTTCTGTGTTACACGCACAGTCAAAGGTGGCCAATCAACTAAAAACAAATCCGGGCCGGCAACGAAACAAATAATGATTTGACCGTTGCTCCAGCTACGTCGTTCATGGTTTGTGCGATTTTATGACATAAAAATATACTTTGAGTCAAAGGCAACGTTGTATGAAAAATTGAAAGCAATCGGTCCAGTAGTGTCCAAGTTTATAGTTAACAAACTCGGAAAATTAACATTTGTATTAATATAGATGTTGGCCTTAAAAAGCTCTGCTGGGATACCATCTGGACTGCCTTTCTTCTCTTCAGAAGATTCATTTCTAAAGTTCCATTTCTAAAGGCTGGATATCTGGAGGAACCTGTGGGGCTCATCTATTTAGAAGTATTTCAAACCCACTATGCATGGGTCTGTGAGCAAGTCTGTGTGTGAGTCTATATGGTGTCCGTGTGTGGGTGTCTGTGTGTCAATGTGTGTGTCTGTCTGTGTTAGTGTGCGTGTCTGTCAGTGTGCCTGTCTGCCTGTGTTAATGTGTCTGTGGGTGCGCGTCTATGTGTGTGTTTGTATGTGTATCTGTATGTTTTTTGTATGTGTGTGTCTGTGTGTGTGTGTGTGTGTGGCTGCATGTTTGTCTGTGTATCTATGCCTGTGTGTGTCTCTGGCTGTGTGTGTGTCTGTGTGTGTGTGTGGCTTTGTGTGTATCTGTGTGTGGGTTTTTATCATATCTGCGTGTGCATGTGTCTCTGTGTGTGCATGTGTGTCTGCCTGTGTGACAGTAGGTGTGTCTGTGTGTGTGGGTCTTGTGTATGTCTCTATGTGTGTGTCTATATGTCTGTGGATGTGTGAGTGCCTCTATGTGTGTGTGTTTGTGTGTGTCTGCGTGTGTGTATTTCTGTGTGTGTCCATAGGTGTGTCTGTGCCTGTGTGTAGCTTTGTGTGTTTCTGTGTGTGTCTCTGTTTTTGTGTCCATTTGTGTGTATGTCTGTGTACATATGTGTGTGTCTGCATATGCTTGGAAGGGCCTGTGTGCCTAATTTGTGACCCTTTGAAAATAAAGTTTGTTGGTTCGTTAAGTTTGTTCCGCTTGGGGGTTTACTGCAACTACATCAGGCAGAAGTGATCTTTTGCTTGTGGGATGAGGTAACAAGTCAAATGAAAGATATTGTACACCCCTGCCTGGAGAGAATGAGACAGCAGGGAGTGTCTACTGGCTCTGGGCCCCACTCAGAACTCTAGGGAAAGGCACAGTAGTAGTTACTAACCAGATGACAGTGGGTACCATCAGTATCTAGACTCCTCACTGGCTGTTGAGAAGGAAGACAGAGCTAATATACAGGTTATGGGTTTGTCATGACTGCTGTGATGTCGAATCTTCTCCCTGTTAAATTCAGATATTAAACCTTTTTTATTCATGAAATGTTATCTCATTTGGCAGGCATTGTAAAATCCATAGTGTACCATAGAGTATATGTACTGTTTTGTTTATCATCACAGTGATGTAGCAATCTTGTAGATTTTTTACTTTTTAAATTCCTCTTATATTCAGGGCATTTTGGAATCCGTAGAGTACCTTCTGAACAATGACATTACCCCAGCAAGATCTTTTTATATCGCCTTTGGGCATGATGAAGAGGTAAGGTCCTATATATGTGTGCGTGCGTGCATGTGCACATGTGTGAGTCTGATCATTTTTGTGTGAACTTAATTGAACTTTTTAGATCCCAATCAATGTATAATTATCATTTTACCACAAACTCTGTTAAACCACTAGGTTATATAAAGGACCCCTGACAACAGCCGGGGTGGGGCTTTAAAATAACAAAAATTATGTCGCTTATTGGAACGGACTTGTAACTAGAGTGTTGTGTGCATTCTGTTTCATAAGTCTAGCTTACTTGTGTGCAGAGTTTTAGTTCCTCACCTCTCAGGCAGATTTTCTCCAACTTCAGTGGAAATGTTTATTGATCTCCTAACTACATTGGTCAGGTCTATAGCCTCCCCTGGTAGTGAACCTGTTTCTAGTGTCTTAACCAGTTTGATGCCTCCTCCTGTTGCACTGGGAGCTGTTATAGTTTATTGGCTGGGTCCTTGCCTGCCAGTTCTAAGATTTTGTGTTAGAGTCTGCAGTGAGTGGGGTTGTTTTTTCCAAATGGCCTTTGCTGTCAGATTGATGCAGCTTTTAATGGGTACCAGGTACACTTTTTAAGAGCAGCTGACCTAATGTTGACCCCATCACCCATCAGGATCTAATTTGTTTTCTTCTTTTGTCATCTCACTGATACCTGGTTGTAGCCCAGTGTTGTGGTTTTCTGTATTTGTCTTATGCTTCTTGGGTGGCTTTGGTGATGGATTTGTTCATCTTTTTGCAGGTTTCAGCTACACCATGTATCCATCTGTTTCTTGTTATTCCCCTCACCTTCCTCCCAGATGTTCTGCTGTAAAAAGTAGCATTTGCAGTCTGATCTGGCTGCATTCTCACTAGTGGCCAGACCATTTCATTGTTTGCCTGTCAGTATAATCCAGACATGGTCTTTCTCTCTAATGCTAGTATTCGTAACACTGTCTCGTCTAGTGTTGTTAGTGACCTTGCGGAGACAGCACATTTCACATATAGTTATTTTCTGTTCTAGAGATCTATTCATTGTCTGTGTTTGGCACTGATAACATAATATAGGGATCTATTAGTTGCGTATATTTTTTACAGCACATTGCAGAACCAACCTCAGCTCTTTCTGGCTGTGGTGTTTTTTCTAGGCAAATTTACGTCCAATACTTTGCCATTGCTTTCTGGTCGGTCGGCTCTTGATATCACAGTCAAAACCATCGCTAGACAAACTGTCCGCAGCAGGGATCGAACCCAGCACCCCGACATTAAGAGGCGCATTAGCAACACCTAAGCCACAGACGCCGACAATATTGGGATAAAGGTGCTATTAATCATTTGCTATTTTGCTGAAAGGGTGAATCATTTCTTGGGTCCCTGGTGAGCTGCTTAGGAGGTCTGCACTGTACCAATGTTTCAAACAGCTTATGGGATACAGAGTGCTGAACCACACGTTATTACACACAGGTGCTGAACCACATGTTATTACACACAGTTGTTGAACCACACGTTATTACACACAGGTGCTGAACCACACGTTATTACACACAGGTGCTGAACCACATGTTATTACACACAGGTGCTGAACCACACGTTATTACACAGGTGCTGAACCACACGTTATTACACACAAGTGCTGAACCACACATTATTACACACAGGTGCTGAACCACACGTTATTACACACAGGTGCTGAACCACACGTTATTACACACAGGTGCTGAACCATGTGTTATTACACACAGGTGCTGAACCACACGTTATTACACACAGGTGCTGAACCACATGTTATTACACACAGGTTCCTGAACCACACGTTATTACACACAGGTGCTGAACCACACGTTATTACACACAGGTGCTGAACCACACATTATTACACACAGGTGCTGAACCATGTGTTATTACACACAGGTGCTGAACCATGTGTTATTACACACAGGTGCTGAACCACACGTTATTACACACAGGTGCTGAACCACATGTTATTACACACAGGTTCCTGAACCACACATTATTACACACAGGTGCTGAACCACACGTTATTACACACAGGTGCTGAACCACACATTATTACACACAGGTGCTGAACCATGTGTTATTACACACAGGTGCTGAACCACACGTTATTACACACAGGTGCTGAACCACACGTTATTACACACAGGTGCTGAACCGCACGTTATTACATACAGGTGCTGAACCACACATTATTACACACAGGCGCTGAACCACACGTTATTACACACAGGTGCTGAACCACACGTTATTACGTACAGGTGTTGAACCAAACGTTATTACACACAGGCGCTGAACCGCACGTTATTACACACAGGTGCTGAACCACACGTTATTACACACAGGTGCTGAACCACACGTTATTACACACAGGTGCTGACTTACTTACTTAGTCGCTCCTCTTCTACCTTGGGGTGTAGAGGTTTGCCAGAGAGATCGCCAGACGTCTCTATCAGCAGTTTTCTTTCTGGCTTTGTTCCATTCCAGTCCTCTGTCAGTCAGGGACTGTCGGATGTTCACAGGTGCTGAACCACGCGTTATTACACACAGGTGTAATTGATGTTTCCTTTATAATTGTTGTTGCACCTGTATGAGAGTCAAGGAACCAGCAGTCTGCACACAAATAAGCCAGATCTGTCAAATAGATAGAGACCAACACTCAAGTCCTGGAACAAGATCAGAGTGCAGAAATAGACAAACAACTAGGACTTTCGGTCTGAGTTTATAGTTGTTGATCTGTGAAAAAGAAAACCAAGAAGATAGTCATTGTGAAGACTGACATAAAGTTAACTGAACATATTGCATTCTTTCATATTCATCTTTGCAGGTAACAGGATCTCATGGAGCCAAAATGATAGCGGCAAGACTGAAGGAAAAAGGGGTCAGCGAGTTGGAGTACATTTCAGACGAAGGTCTTCCTGTGTCTGAAGGTCTCATTAGTGGAGTCAACAAACCTGTTGCCAGGTAACTGAGAATACGGGATAACAGCTGAGGTCATTCACTAAGTAGCAAATTCATCTTCTTCTTCTTCTCTTTCTCCAGTTACCTTATTGGGGTGTTGGGTGGAGATGTCGAGATCTTCAGTTTACCCTTTCTAATGTGTTGCATAAGTTAGGCTTCATTTCTTGGGGCTGGTCTTGGTGCCGTTATTCCATATCTTGCAAGATCTTTCCCTTGCTCTGTGTTCAGTATTTCTTCAGCATGCCAGTCTGTAGCAGATAGTACATGGGCATTCTCATCAGATGGCCATACCATCTCATCAGTTGCTTTCTAATGAACTGTATAACCGGTTTCAGCCCTAGTCTTCTGATTTCTTCATTTTTAATTTGCATATCTTCTTGTTACTCTTGCAGCTCTTCTAAGACATCTAATCTCTGTTGTTACGACTCTACTTTGGCAGTAATGCATTCATGATTTTAATAGTCAATATATACCTCCTTTAAAGTCTCTGGGGCGCACTTAGGATCTGAAAGTGCTAAATAGCTAATGTGTCTTCTATTTGCTACTTCTTTTCTCCTAATGTTGCAAATTTTTATTCTGCATGCACCATAAAAATGGTGGCTGGCACATTATGTTGTAGTCTACAGCTGTGTTGTGATATCTGTATCTATTAGCTCAGTCCATCTTATTTCACAAATTCGTAATTAGTCATTTTTATGTTTAAAAATTCTAGTGACTTACTGTAGATTTACATCTGTATTTATCTGGATGCCGAGTGTATTACAGTTTGCTATATTTATTTATATATATATATGTAAGTAAAGTACAGTTAACATTTATGGCTTAGGAGTTAGAAACTCAGTACAGCCCGTCTCCCACCCGTTTCATTAAGCTGTGGATTTTTAGGCAGCGGACTACTTGGCACTGATTTTGAAAACATCATGGAAGAACAGATGTTTGGGAAGCTGGCAAACTACTGGAAATAAAAGTGCTCACACCATTGGCACATAGTATGTATGGATGTGTGGTACTTAACAACCCAACCTCACGGTTGAAATGCAATATCACACCAGCTTAATTTGCTTTCCTGGCACCCATTTTAGGCTTGATCAACCCAGAAGTATGTGTGTGATGTCTATGCAGGTGTATCTGTGGTGTATATGTGTGTATATGTATATGTGTATGAGTGTGCATGCATGCACATTCTTGTTTTTATTTGTCATTTTATGATAGAGCTGGGATAGTCGTATGTTAGCATCTCTACCTGTTGGCCTGGTATCATAGGTTCAGATACCCATTTAGACATATTTCTAAAATCCAGTCAACCGAACCTACAACCAGTTACTAGAAAATATTATGGAAAGTAAGGGAAAACAGCTAATATGATATTGATCATATCACCTTTATCACTGGGCCAAGAAATCAACACCAGGATAGGTAAGTCAGCAGCAACAATGAGCAGATTAACAAAAAAGAGTTTGGGAGAACAGAAAGCTCACTTATTAAAAAAACAAAACCTTGTCTATCAGGCTTGTGTTCACAGCATTCTGCTTTCTGGCAGTGAAACTTGGTCAGCTTATTCGCACCAGGAGAGACGGCTTTCACTTGTGATGCCTACAAAGAATACTTGGCATTTAGTGGCAGGACAAGATCACAAACACTGGAGTACTGGAAAGAGCAGGTATTACAACAGTCTTCTCAATGCTCAGTCTAGGAAGGCTCATGTGGCTGGGTCACACCTGGAGAATGGAGGATGGCACAGAGACCCTAAGGACATCCTTTATGGTGAATTAAAGACAGAAGATGTCGAGGCCAACCTCTACTATGGTAAAAAGATGTGTGCAAGTAGGACATGAATGATACAGGTATTGAGGTGGACTCATGGGAACAAAATGCCAAGGTCCGTGTTGTTTGGAAAGGGCATATCAGGAAGGCAAGAGAGTGAAGGAAGAAAAGATTACAGAAAGTTTGAGAGCTGAGCATCTTAGAAGAAACACACTAAACACAAATGTTCACAACAGTGGTCATGAAACCCCATGCAATAATTATGGAAGACCTTTCCTAACACCGGTGGGTCTTGCTAGTCACACTCGCCATTGCCATGGGTTGTGAGTCCCATGCCTCCTTATAGTGCAATATAACACTATCATCTGGAAGATGGTATCAAGCACAGACAGGAGACATATGTGGCAGCACTTGATCTTGAGGATACCTACAATAGAGTTAGATGTAATATTTTGATATCTGCACTCATGGAGAAGGGGGTTTGTCCCTGGCTTGTAAACTGGATAGCAGCTGTCCTGCATTCACGTATGGTTGCCCTTTGCCTGGGTACATGGACCTCAGAACCACGTAGTATCGCACCGGGACTACCACAGGGTTCTGCAATTTCACTGATGCACTTTAATGTCTATACAAGCAAGATTGCAGAACTTGAAGCATCAGGTGTTGAAAGAATATTGACATTTGCTGATGATGTTCTTGCATTTAGGTAACTGACTGATAGACAACAGATAGCCCAAGAGCTGCAGGCAACTGTAGACAAAGTGACTGACTGGTATGCAAAAATGGGGGCTGTCATCAACTTAGAAAAGGCTGCTGTTTTGTGGTGCTCTCTAGACAATGGAATTATAAGAGCTAACATTCCAAACCTCACAGTTAATAACAGTAATAAAAAAAATCAAACAAACTGAGGTACCTGGTTATCACTTTTGATTGAAGCCTGTCCTTCAGGGATCAAGTGAAGGCAGTTGTGGCGAAATGCCAAATGGACTCAGAGCTCTCAAAATTATGGCAGTAATGGACATGGAACAAAGAATGCCATTTACAATGTTCCAGCATGTGACCTGTCAGTGATAGATTATGTACTTAGAATGCTTAACATATCAAAGAGTTAGCTGATAAAACTCAAACGCATACAGAATGAAACCACGCAGGTAATTCTGGGATGTACAAGAGATACCCCGGTAGTATGTATGCAGTATATACTTGCACTGCCTGCTATTGCAGATAAGCTCAAAATTCTGCAAGCAAAGTCATATCTCAGAGTAGCTGCAGACAAGAAGCACCTCCTGCATGAAGCTCTGGGTAGAGCTAAGTGTCACAGTCTGAAAAGAGGAAGGTCTTGGATAACGTAAGCTGACACAATCAGATGTGTGCAGGATTGATGATTATGAGCGAGGAGAGGACTGGATCAAGGTGTACGAACAAGTTTCAGACTTGTGTAGGGTTTTAATCACGTTAAGTCATGAGTGCAGAGACTGGTCAGCTGGTGCTGCAGAATCAGAAGTTCAACAAATGATTCATGACAATTCCCCCCAAAGTGATGTGATTATCTATACTGATGGCTCTAAAGACGAATAGACGTCGCCTGGTGCAGTAAAACCTTGCAAAGGATATCACAACGTCTAGTTTAAGAATGGAGGTGGAGGCAGTCTCTGCTGCCTTCTGCTGGCTTGAGAATCAGCTGTACACATATGCCGTTATTGTAACTGACTCACAAAGAATGTTGAGAAAGGTGAAAACAGGCATGCTTCGGGAAGAGTGGCAAGCATCACTTCAGAGGTCCCAGGTAGTTATCATCCTTTGGATATTTTCTCCAGGTCATGCCGGTATGTTAGCAAATGAGCAGGCAGATAGACTGGCTGGCTCTGCACCAATTCGTGGTGAATTGATGTATGACACACTAGATGTTAAAGGGCCCTTTGGCTGCGAGTAAACAGTGCAGAGGCACAGATAGATCATTACGGTCTGGGGAAAATGGTGCTGTGAGGAGTTACTAGGGGATCTGACCAATGCTCAGAATTCAAGAGAAAGGCGAGAGGGATATACAGTCAGACAGTTACTGGTGCCGTTAGAATTGGAACTCTTCACTTGCTGCTAAGGATGTGAACGGAGCACTTGTGGGAGTGTCCTGAGTGCTGTGATGTCGATTCTTAGTTCAACAATCAAAATTCAGCCAATCCACTTCAAAGCATGTAAACAGGTCCTTATTATTAAAAAAAATTTTTAAAACTTGTCTAAACCAAGGTATGGTATCTCTTTCATTATTTCTTGTAGCATTGGTGTCAGTGAAAAGGGTCAGGCAATTCTCAAGTTGTCAGTGAAGGGTGTTCCAGGCCACTCGTCGATGCCACCTAAGGAGTCTACAATTGGAATTCTTGCAGGAGCTGTCCATAGGTATTGTAGAATTTGGTGTTTTTTCCCCCTCTGCTTGCACAGCTTGCTAGAAGCATTCACAGAGTAGACTTCTCGTCTGATATAGAGGACAAGGCCTTGCAGAAAGCTTAGTTTCGAAGTTATTTTTGCTTCCAGCAGTGCTTTGCTAATGCAATTTCCACAAATGGACGGAAGTCTACGATTTTACTGTCTGAGCTGCTGATGAATTAAGTGGTTAATGCGGCACTGTGAGCTGTGTTTTTCATGTGGAATGCCTTTCGTTTGTGCAGGTTGTGTGAATAAGTTGAGTAAACCTAGTTAAGAACTGACAGTGCAGCACTCATAACATTGCTTTAAGCACTTCAGCCCTATCTTTGGCAGCCATTGAAGAGTTCCAATTCTGATGGAACCAGAAGGCGTTTAAATATTTGTCAGTCTTGCCTCCCTTTTGAGTGTTGAGTGTCACTTCCCGCTGCACTGTTATCTTCACACCGTGATAATCTTTTTGTGCTTTTGCACTGTTTACTTACTTCCAATGCCTTTTGTGACCTTAAAAAAGTTTGTATTTTTATTTGTCATATTTTCTTCATTTTAGGCTTGAGTCGAATCCACATCCGAGCATGCTGGGAACTGGCGTGGAGACGCAGTTTCTAGAACATCTGGTGCCAGAGGTCTGCATTGTCCTTCTTTGTTTGTGTGTGTTGAGGGGGGCGGCACGTTATGATTTGTGACATTTTTTTCCTATTTCTGCTGTAAAATATATATATGTATGTAGTGAGCTGTGCTAGCATGTACTAGTGCTCATGTAAACATACATAAACATGTTATGCTAATGATTGTGCACATACACATACATACATACATACATACATACATACATACATACATACATACATACATACATACATACATACATACATACATACATACATACATACATACATACATACATACATACATACATACATACATACATACATACATACATACATACATACATACATACATACATACATACATACATACATACATACATACATACATACATACATACATACATACATCCATCCATCCATGCAAACATAAATACATGTTCTTCTTCAGCATACCTAGCCCTTGGGGTTCATTGCTGCAGATATCCCTTACGTCCGTTTATCTCTGTGGTTGGCTTTTTCTTTAAATTTCCTTATAATTTTCTCTAGGGCTAAGTTAAAAAGAAGTGGGTACAGAGCATCACCTTGCATACATACATACATATATACATACATACATGCATGCATGCATGCAAACATACATACGTCTTCTTCTTCAGCACACCTAGCCCTTGAGGTTCATTGCTGCAGATATCCCTAACATGCATGCATACATACATGCATACATACATGCATGCATGCATCTATACATACATACATACATACATACATACATACATACATACATACATGCATGCATACATGCATACATACATACATACATACATACATACATACATACATACATACATACATACATACATACATACATACATACATACATACATACATACATACATACATACATACATACATACATACATACAAGTGATTATGCACACACACATAAACCTGTACATTCATGTGGTTGTGCACACACACATACATTAACATGTGCATTTTAGTAATTGTGCACACACATACATAAACATGTACATTCTAGTGATTGTACACTCATACATACACAAACATATACATTCTAGTGATTTTACACATGCATGCATACATACATACATACATACATACATACATACATACATACATACATACATACATACATACATACATACATACATACATACATACATACATACATACATACATACATACATACATACATACATACATACATACGTATGTGCATTCTGTTAATTGTGCACACATATATACATACATAAATATGTGTATTCTAACGATTGTGAGATACTGGAAAGAGCAGGTATTACAACAGTTTTCTCAAGCTCAGTCTATGAAGAAGGCTCAAAGGCTGGGTCACACCTGGAGAATGAAGGATAGCAGAGTCCCTAAGGACATCCTCTATGGTAATTTACAGATGGGCAGATGTCGAGGTCAACCTCTGCTATGATATAAAGACATGTGAAAGGGAGACATGATTGATACAGGTATGGATGTGGACTCATAGGAACAAAATGCCATGGGCCGTGTTGTGTGGAAAGGGCATATGAGGAAGGGAATGAAAATAAGGGAAGAAATTATTGCAGAAAGAATTAGAGCTGAGCATCTGAGAAGAAACAGACTAAACAGAAATGTTGACAACAATGGTCCTGAAATTTCATGCTATAATTCTATAATTGTGGAAAAATTTTCTTAATGGGAGGGTCTTGCTAGTCACACTCGCCATCACCATGGGTTGTGAGTCCCATGCTTCCTCAAAGCACAGTATAACTCTATTGTCTGGAAAGATGGAAAGGTGCAAAAAAAAAAAGTAATTATGCACACAAACATATATAAACATTTACATTCTAGTGATTGCGCACACAATCATACATAAACATTTGCATTCTGCTGATTGTAAGCACACACATACATAAACATGTACATTATAATGCTTTTGCACACATACATTTATAAACATAAACATTTTAGTGCTTGCATACACAAACATATACATTTATGCATTTTAGTGATTGTGCACACATAAATAAACATGTGCATTTTGGTGATTGTGCAGTCATGCATACATATGTACTTTCTTGTGATTGTGCGCACACACATAGACATGTAGTGCTTGCATACACAAACATTTACATTGATGCATTTTAGTGATTGTGCACACACACATATACATTGTACATTTTAGTTCTTTTGCACACAAACATACATAAACATGAATGTGCATGCCAGCAAGGCAGTCCGCTCGTTCATTCCCTCTTACCCCAGTGTCCTAGCACAAAAATGAAACTAATTCTTTTCAGACGAGATTCATTCAATGGAAGCACAAACATACACACACACACACATATGTGCTTATGCATCCATAAATACATAATTGTGTGCATTTGAGTGACTGTGCATACATAATGATGTGCATTTAAGTGATTGTGCACACACCCATATATAAAAGTTGATTCTAATGATCACACACAACACACACAGAGACATGCATTCTAGTGATTGTCTGCACACACCCATGAACGTATGAAATCTAATGCCTCTGTACACACAAACGTACGTATATGCATTCTAATATCTGTGCACACAAATACATAAATTTGTGAATTCTGATGCTCATGCAAGCTTGCAAAAACACACATGCGTGCATACACACACATAAAAGTGAATAATGAATAAGAAATAACAGAAAAAACATAGCTCTTCCAATGAATCTAACAGTCAACATCACTCATGTCAGTGACAGTGTTTACACATGTAAGGAGAAAAAGAAACTCTCCATACTAAAAAAATTTTTAATGTTACCTTTGATTTCAGATGAATTTCCCCCAAAGAATACTTGTTGCAAATATTTGGCTATTTAAACCGCTGCTGTCTTGGTATGTTGCCATCTTAATTGCTGTTCATTTTGCTGTTATGGATCTCCACTTTATAAGTGATGTGATCAGCATCACACAAGTTGTCTTTACCTGTTCCAAGGAAGTAACTGTTGCACAATTTAGGCTAGGTTGACCTGGGAGGCAGGGTCAGTTTTGAAGAAAAAATCCAACTTGATGCAGATTTCTTCTTCGCGTTCACTGGCTGTAAACTTCGGCAGAAAGTTCTGGGTGTTCGTCCACCTCCAGACTATAGTCTTGTTGAATGCATATCTATTTCACACATATGGCTTACTTGTATGCAGACTCTTGGTTCCTTACCTCTCAGGCAGATGTACTCTGACTTTGAAGAATGCCACCAGTTAGTCGACTCCTATGACATTCTTGTTGGTGAGGCAATGGGTCTATTCTTGTTTTCCCCACAATTGGGCCCCAGAACCCTAGACCTTTAGGTTCCCAGGTGAAGTCTAGCCACTAAACTACCACAACAGTTTTTCCTTGGAAGTTTGAGTGCATCTGTGTGTGAGATGGGGAACAAGCAGTTTGCATACAAATAAGCCAGATCTGTAAAATGCTAGCAAAACCCTAGTTCTGGATCAAGACTAAAGTCCAGAAGTGGATGAACAACCAGAACTTTCTGCCAGAGTTTCTACTCACTTTCTGCACCTATTACAGGCTGCACTTATAAGGGATCCTCAGAAAGCAATCTGCCAACTTGAGACTCTGATTACCTACACAAAGAGGCATCACGCATCCTCAGCATGTTAGACTTGTCTCTTTGACAATGGCACCTTTCTTATGGATGACTATGGTAATTTTTGTGGCATTTATGAGAAGCATGCATCTTTGCTTCCTTATATGATCATTACACTCAAACCATTGTTGTCATTGGTGGTGAACTTTTGTGTCATAATGTAGGATTTTTCAGCAAAGGAACATCTGAACCTTTTCTGTCATACAGTAGAACACTCGATGGACAGACATTGTAAATCGATCACAAGTGATAATCAGATGTGTTTTTTTTTATGCAAGTGGTAGAGAGATTTATGATCCATAGATGGCTTGTAAGACCTCCTTGGCACAAACTATTCATGGACATGCAATTTTGGCAGTGTCAGTTGAAGGTTTCCCTTCATAGTCTTTTATTCTTCTGGATTGCCTTTAATCTGCTGCTTCTGCAACTGGCCTGGCTATTTCAGGGCCCCTAAAAGCCAAGGTGGGGATTCAAAATAACAACAAATTGCATCCCACATTGGGATGGATATTAGGGCAGAGATAAAACAAACAAAAAATAAAATTGGCAAAAAATAACCGTAGTTATGAAAAATTCTTCTTCTTCTTCTTTCTTTCGCTGAAATAAATTATCTATATCTGCAATGTTGTCTCTAGTATGAAATATTTAGCTGTTTCTACCTTTGGTTTTGGGAGCCTCTGTAGTGTAGTGGCTAGATGCACACCTGCTGGCCCAAGGGTCTAGGGTTCAAATTCCCATTATGTCAGATGTTCTGTCTTCAAAATTAACTTTGGCTCCCAGTTTGACCCAGCCTAAAATAGGTGCCAGTCATTGTCCTGGGAAGCAAAGGTAGTCAGTTGACCTCAACATCCATTGAGGGCTAAATCAGTTATCATGGGGAAATAAAAGGAATTATCGAGAGAACAAACCAACACTAAACATCCACAAAACCCTGTCACCAGACTCAACAGAAAATAACATACACAAAGTTTCCATCTAAGGACAGGACATTGCTTGCTCAACTACCACATGCATAAAATAAAGACTGTACAGTCCCCACAGTGTGTGTGTGTGAGAAGAGACCACAAACATCAGAGCACATTCTGCAGGCCTGCTCACTAAACTTACACCTATGAAGAGAGAACTGTGGGCGGGGCAAGCTGTGAGAAACCGTAGAGGACCTGCAACTGACATGTGAGTTTTATTGAGGCAGCCCACCTAGCAGTCTGACCCGAGCATACGAAACCAAACAGAAGGGGGGAAAAGCTCCATCCAGGGCAGACTGGTGTATAAAAATATGATTCTAGCATCAAATGCACGATGCGCTAGGGGAATAAAAAGAGCTCTTTATTACACTTTTATACCCTTTTTTTAGCAGAACTCTTCGCCTATTGATTTTATATTTTCGCTACAGCCGTGTTAGTGTTAAGTCTGTTTCATTATAGCTTCTCAATCAAGATGAGTTTAGTATCCTGCCTCTTCCTGCATGCTTTGTGATTAATATTTTGTTGGTGTTTATGTTTTTTTTTTTAATGAAATGTATTGCAGGCTGCTGTCTTTGAAGCCACACTCTGATGCCATGATAAGAACAGTAACCTCTATCACAATGTTCAATGCAGGAGTGAAGGTACTTTTTAAATATCAAAAGTAAAATTAACAAGCCCTTAGCACATCATGATTCATATTGGGCATACACTGCTGACCTATTTATAACTAGACCAGTGGGCACTTAATAAGAGTTGGGGTCAATATCATGATAGCCACCTTTGCTTCCCAGTAAACCTTCTGATATTCAGTTTAAACTGCAAGCCCAGGTTAATTATAAGTATGCATTAAAGCATATTTGAATATGCGACTCCCTGTATGGGTTCCAGGACTCCATTTTGAAGAAGAAAGAATAAACCCAGTTAAAGTTGGGGTGCATCTGCCTCAGAGGCAAGGAACCAACAGTCTGCATACTAATAAGCCAAATCTGTTAAACCGTTGTTCACACAAAATTCAAGTTCTGGATCAGTACGAACGTCCAGGAGTGGACAAACAACCTGAACTTTCTGCCAGAGTTTACAGCTGGTGTATGTGAAGAAGAAGAATGCTGCACATCATGTAGCTTTAGATGCTGCCTTTTTGATGTGTTTTCTCCATCAAATGTTACTCCGAGGTATGTAAGCTCCTTATCCTCTCAGGAGTACTCCATTTATGCGCATGAAGCCTGATTTTTGTTTTGGAGAAAGGGTGAAGAGGGTGGTACTGCATTTGCCTATGTTGATGTCGCGTTAGCGAAGTCAATAGGAGGCTCGCTTTCAAATCCAGCTGTGACACGCTGCAGCCCACGGCCGGTGTTCAAAACCAGGCGGTTCCGGGGGTTTACCCAGACTCTAGGAATTGGGTACCGGAGGTAACACTCAGGGGTAAATGGAGGAATGTCGCTGTAGCTACGGAGTTACGTGCTAACGGCGACACAGGTGGACAATTTCTTATCAGCTGTCTTATCATCTGTGATATGCTCTTGATCTGGATCTTTTCAAGAGATGGAAGCCACTCTGCAAGCAGGCCACCAGTTTCAGTTTTCTGAAGCATGTTTTGTGAGTGTCTGATTATGTAATGCCTTTATTGTTGTTACCAGTCCATGTTGGTAAGTACTGTCTTTATCTCATACCAGAATTTATAGGTGTAACACATTTGTGGAAAACTGATATTGCTGTATTCTGACATGTCCAGACCAAATGATCTTTCATTTTTCAATGTATTCGGCACAAAGTGAACTCTATTCTCTGTATATTAGCAGTTACTTAATTTAACATTTCAGTTACTTTTTGATTGCCAGTTGCTTTTTATGTTTTATTTTTTTTTTTTTTTTTTTTTACTTTATGTAGGCAAACGTGATTCCACCACTGGCTGAAGCGATAGTCAATCACAGGATACATCCATCTCAGACTGTTAGAGAGGTAACTTAAAAACACTTTCTGAATTCGTTACCTTGGTGTCATTAATTTCTTATATGTTTATAAATAAAGGATGACAGATGGCTGGGTCACACACATGGAGAATGAAGGATGCAACAGTGCCCAAGGACATCCTCTGTGGTGAAAAAAAGACGTGTAGATGATGTCGAGGCTGACCTCTGCTACCATATAAAGATGTGTGCAAGTGGGACATGAATGATACAGGCATTGAGGTGAACTGTCATGGATCATGTTGTCTAGAGGAGACACATTAGGAAGGGAATGAGAATGAAGGAAAAAATTACTGTAGAAAGGATAAGAGCTGAGCATCTGAGAAGAAACAGACTAAACACAAATTTTGACAACAGTCCTGAAATCCTCATGCTATAATTGTGAAAGGCTTTTTTGTAATGCAAGAAGGTCTTGCTAGTCACTGTCGCCATCACCATGGCTGTGAGTTCATGCCTCCTAAATAGCGCAGTATAACACTGTCATCTGGAAAGGAGGAAAGGTGTCAGTCAATCACTTATTTAAAGGATAACTTAGAGGTTACGTCTCCTGCTGGCTCAGGCAGACTAGGTTTTTTCGTCGTCCGAACTGTATGGATTTTTTTTTTTTAAAGGACAGTATGGTATACTTCCCCATTATTTAAAAAGCTAAGGTAGCATGCAAGAATGCAGTCAATACCAAAGCATCCGTTTTTCAAGCCATGTTGGCAAAATGTATTTTAAAATAATAGAACACCAGTGAGGAGAAGATCAGGGATGATAGAACCAGAGTTGGCAGAAGATCAGTTGGGATTTAGGAGAAATAGAAGCTGCACAAATGCAATCATCACACTTAAACAGTTAATAAAAAAAAAGAATATTTAATACAATAAGAACTTATTTCTAGCATTCATAGACCAGGAGAGGGTATTGACATTTGATAGATACGTTTTATAGAAAGTAATGGCTCAATATGTTGTGAGCAAACACCTCATCAGAGTGCACAAGTTTATATAGGGATTGTAAAAGTGTAATTATAATTATTCGTGGAACATCTAAACCATTCACAGTAACATTGGAAGTAAGACAGGGATGTGTCTTATCACCACTGTTTATCATCATCAACAGTTTATGCATGGATGCCAAACCCAGGAATAAAGATATTACTAACATAAACAAATTACTCTTTGCTGATGACAGGTTTTGATGGCAGATAAAGCTATTTAATTGCAGCAGCATTTCACATCCATTAATAAAGAATGTAAAACAAATAATGTAAGAATCAGCATTGAAAAATACCGAAGTAATGTCAGTAGGAAGAAAGAATATAGCAGTATGCACAGGCAGTGAGCAGGCATCTTGATTTAAATAACTGGGAACAATATTCACCAAAGATGGTAAATTGGATGAGGAACTTAACATTAGATGCAGTGAAGCAAACTAATTGCTGGGACAGCTAGCCAGTCCCCGTCCCTCCCCCTTTTTTCACACCCCTGCCCCCCCCCCCCCCCCCCCCCCCCCCCCCCCCCCAATGTTTTCCACCCAACCTTTTGTTTCTCCTTCTTATAGCGAAAAGAAATATACAAAGCATATTCATTACCACCCTTTGTTACTAGGGCTAGACATGGTCATTAACAACAAACCAGTAAAGATCATTATTAACCATGGAAATGAGATGTCTGAAAAGCCCTGCAGGAGTGACCAGAAGAGATTAAGGCACAAGGCACATACTAAAAGAGGAGAAGGATGCACAGGTAGACCAAGAACAGAGATAACCTCAAAGAAACTCTACAACACAATGTGTCTGTGGTCAAGGTGGTGAGAAATTGAACCTTATATCTTCCCTGACACAAATAAAGTGGTAAGAGAGGAAGGGAAAAAGAAGAAGATATACTTTTCTTCTTACCCTGAGGTAGAAGACTGGACATCCAGCCCTTTAAGACAAGGGCACAAAACTCAGAGAACCTGTGTGCATGTTGCAAATGTGAAAAGCTTTATGGTGGTTGGGAATTAAACAGAGCAAACAAAACAGGCCTGTATCTAAACAGCAGTCAGTGATGATGATGATGATGAAGGATGATATAAAAGGAGTAAAAATAAACATGAATAGATTAAATTCTCTGTGTAGAAAAACCTATGTAACCAGAAAGATCACGTGATCAATTTTAAGTTACCGTGGTAATCACATGACCAATTTTTTGTTTTCCAACAGGTGGATGTAAAGCACTTCGACTATGTGGTTTTTGCATTTCAGCAAGAAAAGGATTCATTTTGTGCTTCATTGTTATGTTGATTTTTAAAAAAAAGTAAAGGACCCTTTTCCACGCCTTTAAGCGTATAGGGCATATAGGGCTAGACCTATATTTTTATAGACCAATCGGCACAAGATTGGTGATGTGTTCAGCATCAGCTGGCTGCCTCTACTTCCCGGGACTGCACCCGGTACCCACGCAAGGCTGGGTCGATCTGGGAGCCAAGGTCATTTTTGAAAAAAGTCTGGCTCCTCCAGAGAGCGAACCCTCGCCTTCGGATCCGCTTCTAGTCACTCCACCACAGGGACTCCCATGTTGATTTAACTCTGTAATAATGTACCTGACGAGTTACAGTGGAATGTGACAGGCAGTAAATTGTGCAATGTATTGTTTGCGTCCTCATTATTTAAAGCTAACTTATATATTTCATTACTGTTTGTCCAGGTCATAGAATATGACAGACAGTTGATTGGTGATGCCAGGGTGAATATTGAAATTGCCAGCAGCATAGACCCTCATCCAACTGCAGGCTATGGGAACAATGATTTTGGTTATCAGGTATGACTGTGAGTTTGGTTGTCATGTATGACTTTCACTGTCACTCAGGTTAAACTTTCACTGTCAGCTATAACTTTGATTATGCCACTCCAGGTTTAACTTTGACTGTTAGATATATAACTTTGATTGGCACTCTGGGAACTTGCCCGGAGGCTCCACGCACATAGGTTTTTTTTGCTAATCTGTGTATGTAAAGTGACTTACCGTAAATTTTTTTTTTTTTTTATGTTTGACATAATAAAGCAGTTCTGTGAAAATAAATGTCACAAATGCTTGTTATAAGAAGTTCATAATAATTTCATATTGTTTTATCTAATCTATGTACTGTGGAACTTCACTTTTCATCTTTTTATTTCCTTTGTCGTGTTTTTTCATTGAAGTTTTTGTTTGATACTCACCCGAAAAGTCAGTATTCGTCCTTCCTTCGATGTGACCGACAAGTCATCAAACAAGAAGACAAAAAAAAAATAAGATGATGGGCCAGTTCCAAGGGCTGAATTTAAAAATGGCTGTCCACTTGGACAAAAATACAGGTTTTCATCGAGAAATAGCACTCAAACATTGCTATAGTTAATCAGCATATCAGTTCATTTAATGATGATGATGTGTTTTGAGACTTCTCAGGCATCTTGTTTCACATATTAGGATCTTCTTCACTTGTGCCTTGGTTAGTCAGAATATCTGACATTGATAACAAAGAGTTGGTATGAAAATGCTGTTAATCAATTGTCTTTTGGTGCCTTGAAATTTTTTTTTTTTTTAAATATACTTTTTACAATAAATGATGACTTAGAAAAGGTGGGGGGGGGGGGGGGAGGAAGGAAGACAGAAAAAGGCACACAGATAGACAGATAGGGAAGACAGAAAAAGATTGAGAGGCAGAGAGAGGGACCTGGCACTATCAAAGTAAAAACTATCATCATTAATCAATAATCTCGTCACTGCAGGCCTAAAGATGTCTCTTTCTCTAGCTATTTCTCCAGCCCCATGTGCTTTCATAGCCATGCATTTTTCACTTACTTGTATCCTCCATCACCATTTGACTTCTGTTTTTCTAGGGATATATAATGTGGTAGTTTCCCCTTGATTTCCACATTCACTTTGCTGAGCACCTCAGCCTTTCAGCAATCTTTTTTAGATTAGTGATTACTCTTCTATGTGATTCTGTTGCTAACTATCACATACTATTTACATACACAGATGTGTTATTTACGTTGTATTTTTACTCTAATAGACCTTAGAATGAATAATGACAGATAGAAAAGGTCATGAATATGTCTTAAAAGAAACTGACTCATAAATAGAACTGATTGGCCCACATTAGAGAGAGACAGTCTTCATTCTTCAGTCATGTGATGAGGATAAACTGAGTACACCTTGACAGTAGGAAAGTTTGAGGGGAAGAGAGGCAGAGGGAGAGCGAGAGAAAAGATGCTGGACAGTCTGACATCTTGGCATGGAGGATCATCTGTGTCAGAGTTGATTGAAAGTACACGAGGCAGAAGGTTGTGGATGAACATGACTAGCAATGCCACATGTCACGGACTTTGAGAATAAGAGAACTTTAGAACAACCATGAGTTTAGTATATTCATTGTTTCCTTCTTCCAGGTATTCAAGACAACTATACGACAGATATGGCCCAGTGCCTTGGTTGCTCCAGGTATGTACCAAAGTGAGTAGGGCTTCAAAAAACTGCATCTCACAAGGATATGATTGGGAAAAGGTGAAGACAATAGATACTACTAAATCTCACAAATAAGACATCAGATCTGGTAATAATATACTCAAAATGTATTTATAAATTGTATATATATATATATTTATATATATTTATATATTTATATATATATATATTAATTGTAAGTATAGTTGGCAGGCCTGCAGAATGTGCTCAGGTATTTGTTGTTCATTTTACAAGCACACTGTGGAGACTTTATTTTATGCATGTGGTAGTTGAGCCTGCAGTGTCCTGTTCTTTAGACGGACAATTTTTATATATTGTTTTCTGTTGAGTCAGATTGAGAGAATATTAATACATTACAAATTTATTCTGACATTTTTTTGGTCATCCAGGTGTTCTGATAGGCAACACAGACACACGTCACTACTTAAATTTTACCAACAACATTTATCGTTTTTCACCAACGCATATGTTTCCTGGGGATGCCCAGCGCTTCCATGGACTCAACGAGCGCATATCAGTGAAGAATTACGAGCAAGTGATCAACTTTTTCTTTCACCTGATTAGAAATTCTGACCAGCCTTCTCTAAGCCCAGTCCATGAACATCATGATGATCTATAGTTCAGATTATTTGACTGTTTCCACATCCCGGCTGCTACCACAGACTTCACAGCAAGCCAGATATCAGTCAAACAACAGTGTCGAGGCGTGCATGTGATGGCTGTTTTCACCGCTCACACTTTACATTGTCAGAGAAATTTGCAATATTTTAGTTTATTATTATTGTTTACTTTTTATTATAAATACGCCACTCAGTTTGCATCTCGAACATAGGGAAAGGAACACTCAGTGCGCGCTTACGCTCTCATGCAGAAACTAACATTTGAAAGTTACCAGTCAGTAAAACTGTCTGTTTTGCTAGCTGTGCATGCAAACTCTCAACAGCGAAGCGACAGGGAAAAAATTATTGTGTGATACCCTTTCCAGTATAATTGTTACCTGCTAACGCTTACAGGTGTCAAATTGTCATGCCTTGCCACTCCCTTACATGAAAATCACAGATAGCCATTTAACATCTCAAGATGGTTATCATTATGGCACTTCATCGGTTATGTGTGTGAAGTACTACCTTGATGTACCCTACCATCCTAAGTGGGTAACAGAATTGGGTATATTATATACACATAACATGTTTTATTGATAACATACAATTGTGATCTAAAAGATGTTTAGAAGGGCCAAATTAAAAACTGGCCTGTGTGCCCAGTTTGTAAGCATTTGATAACGTTTTTTTTATTTTTTTTATTCATTCCACCATTTCGTTCTGACCTGTACAATAAGTTCAATATCTTGAAAAGCATCCAGTTCAACACCTTTTGCCTCTCACATGTGTGTGTGTGTGTGTGCATATATGTATGTGTGCATGTTTGTGGGTGTATGTCGATGTGTGTATCTGTGATTGTGTGTGCAAGTTTGATTGTGTGTGATTGTGGTCATGTGTGTGGGTGTCTGTATATGTGATTGTATGTGTGTGTATGCATGCATATGTTGATGTGTATGTATGGATGTATGTATTATGTATGCATGTGGGTGTATGTATGCATGTGGGTGTATGTATTATGTATGTGTATGTGTAAGTAGTCGGCTCTGTGGCTAATTCGATACGAACACTTTGTAATGCCCGGGATGCCAGGTTCGATCCCAGCTGCGGGCAATGCGCCTTGTGTTGGTTTCGACAGTGATATCAAGAAAGCCGACCGTTTAGAAAGCAATGGCAAACTACTGGACATAAATTTGCCTAAAAAACCACACAACAGCCAGGGGCTGTTGGGGTAGGTTCTGCAATGTCCTGTAAAGGATACACAACTAACCTTTTTAATGTGTAAGTATGTGAGTGTATGTATGTATTACGTATGTCTGTATAAGAGTTTTTGTGTATGTATGAGAATGTAAGAGGTTGTGTACATGTGTGTGTGTATGTTTGTTTGAGTCTGTATGATTATGTATACTTGATGCATGTATGCATTATTCTATAATGCATATTTTTTTATTATAAACATAAAAAGCATTATTGATAACAGGCATTGGTACTCTGAAAGATGAGTGCTTAGAAGGGCCGAATGTCAGACGGACCTGCGTGCCCAATTTGTAACCGTTTGAAAATAAAGTTTGTTCATTTTCTCATCAGTGTTTGTTTTGGGGTTTCTTTTGCATATCTTTGCTTCTTCAATCCTTGTATTTCATCTTTTAGTGCCTGTTGGTAATTTTATGCTTGTTTCTTCTAAGAAGCCGGCTCTGTGGCTAAGTCGATGCAAATGTTTCGTGATGCCGGGATGCCGGGTTTGATCCCAGCTGTGGGCCATGCGCCTTGTGTTGGTTTCAAGGAAGCCGACCGTCCAGAAAGAAATGGCAAACTACTGGACATAAATTTGCCTAGAAAAACCACACAACAGCCAGGGGCTGTTGGGGTTGGCTCTGCAACGTCCTGTAAAGGATATGCAACTAACCTTCTTCTCAGAATGTGTCCTGTATGGCACCATCTTTGTTCTATAACTTTTGTTACCAATGGTTGCGCAAAACATTTCTCTTATTTCTTGAATTCAACTAATTTTATGTTCAAAATTTTCCTCAGGCATTTGTTTTTAAATTAATTTAACTTTTGTTCTATGTTTTTATTGGTTCTCCAACAAATTAAAAAAATTAAAAAAAAATTAAAAGTTAAAGTACATTAGAATTGAAACTTTTAATCTTGGTTTTAAAACTATACAATCTGGAGTTCGGTATTTTGTTCACGTTTTTACAAGCAGCTGGTAATTTTGTAATCTTAGTTTCAGCTTCATAGCAAATGGGTCACCCCATAGTTGCTCCGCTCCTGTGCCAATGAAAATCACAAAGAATGTTTATCACAGTCCCTTGTGGATTGATTGACAGACTACTGTCTCAGCATATCTAGCATATACATGCATTAAAAGCATACAGTAGCCATCCGAAGTGCAGACACAAACAGTCCAACATTAGAAATGCAGTTTGTCTTGGATGGTAGCAGAAGTCACCAACAGATCAGCAGTTGTACACGTGATCAATTTTAATCACATAATGGCACCACCAATATTGCGACAACAAGCATGGCACCATTTTCTAAATCAACAATTCACACCACCACATTGGTCACAGTCGAAAAACATTCCAAATGAAATCTGCAGCTCAGAGTGTCACACCATGCACTCAGCTCAGAAGCTGGGTGACGAAACTATGTCCTTTCAGTCTACAAATGGAGCTAAATTGCAACGGCCACCGTCTGGCAGAAGCAAAAAAACAGTGGCCGTGCCTAGCCTCCATTTTGACCGAAAGATACAAGCAGCTATTATGCCTTGCCAGTGTATGCCATAATTTCCTTCTTTGTAATTCCTTAACTAATAAAATTACTACCTAAATAAGTAAATTGATCTGTCACTTGAATTCTTTTTGTTCCCTATGTGGGTTCCAGAGCCCACTTTTAGGGAAAACAATAACAGATCCACTGCCTCCCTAAAAAGCATGTCGTAGGAGTTGACTAATTGGGGGCTTCTTTCCATGTCAAAATGCATCTGCATGAAAGGTAAGGGACCAACAGTCTGCAAATAATGCAATATAACATCATCATCATCATGTAGCAGGTCCTTTGCAGAACGTCGCTCTCATCACGGTCTGCCTGAAAGAAACTCTGTCTCTCGTCAGTTCTCCTGCCTCATGTACTTTCATACTCAAAGAGTTACTTATATCTTGTGCCCAACTTCGTATCGGTCGGCCCCTGCCCCTCCTTCCTGGTACCATGCCTTCTGCTATAAATTTTTTTCCAATCCGTCGTGGCGCTTGATATGACCAAAATATTTCAGCTTTCGAGAAAGGATGCTGTTTATTAGCCAATCTTCCTTGATGTTCAGATCTTTTAAGATATCAATATTTGTCTTCTTCTTTGTCCAAGATATTCTGAGAATCTTTCTATAGTATTTCATCTCAAAAGCCCCTATTCTCTTTCTTAAGGACTGAGAGATAGTCCAGGACTCACATCCGTATGTAGCCATGGGGAAGATGCATGCTATCAAAATTCTAATATTTATCTCCTTGCTGGTGCTTAACCATAGACTTTTAAGACTGTTCAATCTATGCATTGCTATGGCCATCCTTCTTATTCACAAGTCATTGTCATCATTATGTGCATTGCCAGTGGCATGGGGGTTCATATCTCTCTACGAATTCTAATACTCAGTATTAACGATTAGTTCTGTAGAGGGTAATTTTTACATGGCACTGACTTAGACCATCCTGTGTCACCACTGTCAGTCTCCAGAATGTTCAGAAGTCAGTATCCAGAATGTTCAGGAGTCAGTCTCCAGAATGTTCAGGAGTCAGTCTCCAGAATGTTCAGGAGTCAGTCTCCAGAATGTTCAGGAGCCAGTCTCCAGAATGTTCAGGAGTCAGTCTCCAGAATGTTCAGGAGTCAGTCTCCAGAATGTTCAGAAGTCAGTCTCCAGAATGTTCAGAAGTCAGTCTCCAGAATGTTCAGAAGTCAGTCTCCAGAATGTTCAGGAGTCAGTCTCCAGAATGTTCAGGAGTCAGTCTCCAGAATGTTCAGGAGTCAGTCTCCAGAATGTTCAGGAGTCAGTCTCCAGAATGTTCAGGAGTCAGTCTCTAGAATGTTCAGGAGTCAGTCTCCAGAATGTTCAGAAGTCAGTCTCCAGAATGTTCAGAAGTCAGTCTCCAGAATGTTCAGGAAATTGTCTGGTAGCCATTTATTACCATACTTGAGCCACAATGGTAAGATAAAATGTCAGTACTTCTACCGAAATAAACACAGAACATTGCCTTGGTAGGTGCAAGCACTAATCACCGTGCCAACCACTGCTTTAGTATGTGGTTTATTAAAATATGACTGGGCAACTTTATGCATTTCAAATGTCTATCCATTATTTATTGCCAGTTAGCAAGTTTATGTTATTGTTTTTCTGTAAGAAATGACAAGTTATTGAACCATTTCTGGAACATTAAATATTTTATTGTACAGTTTTAACCAGAGTTTTAACCAGCATTTTTAAAGAACGATTTGTCTTTGTTTATGTCCTAACATTTTGTTTCTAATTTGTGTTTTGGGACACCGAAATTATAGTGAAATTCATAAATTGTTTACAAACTATATTTTTAATTCACCATTGCCTAAAGAACATGAAAGAAAACTAACCACCTACTTGATATTGGTAACACTTACCTGGCACAGGTAATTAACCTTTACGTCCTTTTTAGAATGAAATTTGATGCTATTTGAAGCCCCACCCTGGCTTTTGCCAGGGGCCGCGATATAGGCAGGCCATAAATATGGCCAATTGTCTGAACGCGGTTTCTAGGACCTCTCCACGGTGATCCTCATCCACATGGTGGCACTTTGTGTCATCGGGTATTTATCGCTTGTGTGATGTCCTAGTGGGGTAGAAAGTCAGTTAGTCAGTCGTAACCACCTACGAAATGAGATGCTTGAGAGAGGCAGTGAACAAAACTAGAAAAGATCATGTGAAATACAAAGAAATTACAAGAACTATTAAAACAACGCCTACAATTAAATTAAGGGTCCTGCGTGGTCTTGAGGC